GTTTGATACTCACGTTCAGCAGGAGCATAATTTAGCGAATTATATGTAAATATTTTATATTTTTGATTTTACGATAGAAGAGAATGTCTTATATCGGTTTTTTAATATAATCTTCGATCAATAGGTTCTTCCTTATGCACTTAATTAACAAACCGGACACCGAATACACCGGTCAGGAGACCTACGTGTGGAATATGTATCAGCAAAGATGTTGGGACTTCTTCCCGGTGGGCGATTGCTTCCGCAAGCAGAACGAGACCGTAGAGGAAGAGGCCAAGAAGAAGTAAAATTAATCTCGTTTTTAATTAAGAGGTGACCAATCGATCGACCAATCGATCTCACTTATCAATGAGGACTTCTCTCCTCGAACAGCGTCTTCGATTATTTTTAGCGTCAATTGTTGCTCATCGGACGGGAGTATAAAGTCGAAACGTCCGTTCACAAAATCAAATTTTTAAAACTCTACGTCTTACCTCATATCGACGCGCGAGGAGAGATTTTATGTCGTAAAAACTTATGTCTCCCCCCCCCCGTTTTCCACTTGACAAATTATTGTTATTCCTAACTCGTAGATTGAGTCTCTCGCGTATGAGTCTAGGGCATTAATTATGTACTGCGTGTGTAATAAAAATGTCTGGACATGGAGGATTTCGCGCTTGACGTTGCATCGCGCGCGTATAAAATTGAAAATATTTTTCCAACTTTGTAAAGATAACACGAACGCGGTACCACTGAGATAATCTCCACTTTTAGATAATCGATCAATCAAAGGTTGACAAAAGCTCGACTTTCTTCGATCGACGGTACATTATTGTTGAATCGGCGAAACCGACTGCACAAATTTACATATTCCTAGCGCTACAATTGCCTTCTTTTCATACGTCGAATCTATGATCTATACTTGTGCACAATTGATGCGCTGTATCGGAGCGATAACAAGTTTGAAATATATGATATAGTATAAGTAAGTTGAAGATATTCAAAGTTTATATAATGTGCAAATTTCTCTTTGATTGCTATAAGAATGAAAACTTTTTGGACATTATTTATGACTGAGCTCATAGTATATATATCCAGAAAAATGTCAATATATATTGTAAATAAAACTTTACGGCAGGACTATCTGGTAATAAAGACATACTTCTTTACTTCGTTATCCCAGGTTCTTTCCTTAATTTTATATATAAATTGCATGTACTTTCAAATACCATTTAGAACTCAGGTATTCTTATCTGCAAAACTTTAAAAATATATTAAAATTTACAAATCGCAAATTATTATTGATATCGTCACATTTTTGTTTAATTTATATTAATCTATGATTGCTATAAAAGAATTTTAAAGACTATTGATATTGAATCTTGAAAATTGTATTAAGGTTTCTACATAAAAAACTAGTTTCTAACGATCGATACAATCGATCTTCAATAATTCCAAGGCCGGAATTTTGCGCGTTCCGACGTCACGACGGCGACGCCACGTCGTATTACACCGACCTCGTCTACTGTGGCATAGTAAAATATCATATATTTTCCGTCACGATACGTACCCGAGGGAAATGAGAGAGAGAGAAAGAGAGAAGAGCAACAAGAGTAACGGCGTGTCCCTTCGCGCCGAGGGCGAAAGGAGGTCGCGCAAGCGCCTCGGTCCAGCAGCCGCTCGCCGGCGAGGAGCTTTCAGGGTGAAAATGCACCATGGCATGGGTGGATCGGTGGGCGATCGTCACGGCGTTCAAAATCCGGCGATGCAGGCCAGGAATGGGTTGTGCGACACAATTGAAAATTACATATCCGAGCTAGGCCGATGGTACGTGAATAACCGCGGGGTAAACGCTCGCAGGAGCTATCGTGTGTGTTTTCCGCCCTGTATCATTTCGTAAAAACGGTGGAGACGGGCGGGAGGGGGCGAACGACCCGGGCATGAAACGACCGGGTGTTTAGCTACGTTTCGTCATGCAGTTCCTCGTGATTGGTATAACAATGTGTAATTATGGTGTAAATGCAATAATAATAGTTTTGATTGCGAATATCTTTGAATGGCATGAGAAACATGATAACGATTGATAACGAATCGATACGTGACAATACGGACATGGACATTCGGATTATATTAGTGGTATATAGGTGTTAGTGTAGTTTTACGTGTGTCAAATTCGTAAACCCTCCCTTTGTTAAAATATGCATATTTCAATATTTTTTTTTTTTTAACTGGCGTTTTATCCAAATAATCTTTTTTATTTTTTGATTAATTTAGAAATTTGCAAATATTCTTTATTAATAATAACTTATGTAAAATAATTTGTTTATTTTTGTACGACTTGTGTGCTTTACCGCATGGTCGGCTCGAAAACGCGATTTGGTCTGACCGTTCCTGGATGTTACTACTTAAAGTAATGCGCGCGATGAGATATTTAATAAAAACTGAATAATTTTCATTAAAAAAATTAATTGTATACTTTTCCCACATGAAATATTCTTCTACTAGATTTCTTATGCTAGAATATATAAATTTTTAAATATTAATTTTTATATTAAAATCTAATATAATTATTAACTTCTTTTTCTCAAAGTCTATTTAAATTCGCAATTATAAAAATATAATTTTATATATAGTTTATGATACATATACACACAATATACGCACACACATTGCTTCGAGATAAACAATATAACCGTTTGTTAATGCAATATAACATGAAACAGGGCAGTATGGAGGGCGATAATAATGGGCCAGTTTCTCTCGCTGGTGCTGTGCTTCATGACACTCGTAAATCATCACATAAACACCGCCTCGTACAAGCTTTCGCTTCCAACAGGTAATTTATTTTATTATGTAAAAATTAATTTTTTGCATTTTTGCGTCAAAATTTGAACTCATTGAGAGTGATATCTATCTTTAAAACTTTTCTCTCCATTACTAATCCGATTGTTATCGTTTTCGCGAGACAGGACAAAATCTTCCACATTACGTGATGATGTGCTTAGTTTATACGACGTGGATGTCCTGCCGAGGTGTGGGAAATGGCCTAATTTCCGTCATAAGAGCTCGTGGATGGAGATACTTGCTGTTAGCACTGATCGACGTTGAAGCATGCACGCTTATTACGTCGTCTCATCAATTTACCAGCCTCGCCAGCATACATGTATGTAAATGCCAGATTTACATATCTGTAAAAGTATGTAAATACCATCCCAGATATTTTATCAGGAGCATAGTAAAGCAATACAGATTCAAATATAATAATTACGTTTCTCTCTCTTATTTTTTATAGAAATTTTATAATAGATTATTAATTCGAATAATCTAATATTTTTTGTAGATATCGCTCCTTTTGATATTTAATTATCCGTATGTACATTTTTTTACGTTCATTACATCTACAATTTTTATATTACTATATTTTTATATTATTGAATAATCTATGAAAATTTATTAATTTCGCGATTATTTTCACGTGTGTTTAAAAATGAGCCCCATTGGCGTTACTTTTGTCGTTTAATACACCATTTTCTACTCACGCATATAACTTTGTCCGTCTATATATGTAGTTTGCACTCGTGTTATCTGATGTGCGTAGTACTCGCGTCAGCTGCGAATGGCGTACAGGTATTGTAACTGCGCGGCTATATAATGAAAAGGAGGACACTGGGTCTTCGACTTAATATCTAATGCTCGTTCTCTCGTTGTCCGAGCCATTCATTCTTAATCAAATGCGTTGCAAACTTTATAAACTATCTCTTATTGCGTGATTCACATATATTGGACATTTTTATATACACGATATACTGTAAATACTATTATGAAAATTACTAATATATGAATTACAATAAAAAACAATAAAATATATTTTTAGCTTCTTGACTGCGTGGCGATACCGGTTGCCTTGGTACTCTCGTTTCTAGTATTGGGTGTCAGATACAGAATGGTACACATCGTTGGTGTGTCCGTTTGTTTAATGGGCGTCGGATGCCTGGTTTGGGCCGGTATAGATGACAATAACGATCCTACGGCTACTGGTAATTACTAATGATCATAAAATGCAAATAGATGCATAAAAGCAACGATAAATTATTATTACTTTATCGTTATTGCTAACGCTTCGTCTTTTTTGACGTGTTGCAGTCTTCTATTTACACTCTGCTTTTTCTGTATAATTATAATTTTATTATAAATTTAATAAAGTTGTTATTGTCATTATTATTATTTATTGTACCAGGAAAGAATCAACTCGTCGGTGATATGCTTTGTCTCGGCGGCGCGGTATTGTTTTCGGTGACGACGGTTCTGCAAGAGCTGGCCGTTAAAACAGTCGATATTATTGAATACCTGGGCATGATCGGTTTCTTCGGTACAATATTGAGCTGCATGCAAACGTGAGTACGTCATAATTGAAATTGAGAGCTCCATAATAAGAATGCCTCGAATAAGCGTTATTTCTTTTCCTCGATCGTTTCAATACAGTGCCGTGCTCGAGAGATTTCAAATAGAAGCGTTCGAATGGGACAATGCACCAGTAATAACGATCCTGATTCTTTATTGCATCACGCAATTCATGTTCTTCTCTCTAGTGCCAGTAATATTGTTTGAGTCTGGCGCTACCGCATTGCAACTGGCGCTACTCACTTCGGATTCTTTTAATATATTAGCTGGAATGCTTAATCACCACTATAAGGTAGGCTATCAATTTACATTGCGAGTATTGTCACTCAAAAAAAAAAATGAAAGTCTAATGCAGATAATTCACAATTAACATTTTATATAAATATTGACATTTTTCTCATCGATTGTTCTAGTTTCACGCATTGTACTTTGTTTCGTACACACTCACGATGACCGGCATATACATATACGCAATAAAGAGAACACCGATATCATCGAATTCACGAAGGCAGCATATCGAACCGCCTATCCCAGATTACAGGTGAGGTTTGCGTTAAATATCGTATAATTAATTATCGATATCTCCGCGAAGTAAATGACCGAGCGCGCATTAAAGTGACGATAACGTCAGTTTTTAGATATTCTAAAAATATTCTGATAATTCAAAATAATTTAAGACACATGTCCCATCCCGATGTCGGAGAAGTGGAGATGGCTACGAGCTCTGGAATGTCCGGGGTGAGCGGCACCCTCGATATCAGGGCATCCACCCTCGGTAGTGAGAGGGGGACAATGGATGCAACGAGCCTACCCCTAAGCGTTAGCTCGGACACGGCCTTCACCTCCTTCTATGGCAGTCAGGCGAACTTGAAGGTAGCATCAAGATCAATGCCACGCGTATCCTCCAATTCGTATTTCGATACGAAAAACTCATCCTGATGTCTGTCGGGGACGAACTTGACACGAGTTCAAGGTTCAGGTGATCTCACGGATATCCGAGGCAAATGGAATCCGCGTAATTAAACGATTTTTCAATATCTGTCCATTTTCGATAATATAATTTTATATTACGTTATAAAACTTCACACGCAGTTTACAGTGAATAATAAAATTTTTTTGTGTGTGTTAGATTTATTTTCCAGAAACGGTTTTGGAATATATACAGAAATTGCATAATGTCATTGACCCACATAAGATCAGCAAAAAAAAATCGGATGATACATAAAATTAGAATAAATATATAATTTTTAAATATCATTATATATGTAATGGGAGAAGGGGAGGGGGAGGGTACACTCGATATGTCATAATATGCAACGATGAATACATCGTCTGCAAACCACAAAATAATGTTTTAACTCGCGCGGTAATTTATTTGCCTCTGATATATAGCGTGATTTCTTTATTTGAATTTGGAGAGATGTCAATGAAATCTGTGACGGTTTCAGGCTGCGAACGGGAAGAGCGATTCTACCTGTAATTAATAAGCGGAAGAAAACGACTGCCTAGAATAGAATAGAATAGCGCGCGATTTCTTCGTTCAAAATGCAACATTTTTCAAAACGGGGCCCTTAAAAAAAAACGAAAAAATGTTTATATATCGACACGATTACAAATGCTAGCACATAGTGCAAAAACTCTTTTTTGATAGCCGCATAAAATTATTAATTTATAATATTAATTGTATTTATAACAGGCAAGACGATAGTTAGACCGTCTTAAAGTGGCATTAATTCAATACTTTTTTAGTATATGATATTATTTTATTATTTGGTATAAATATTATTTAATAAAAAAAATGTATATATTAGTATATAATATTAGAGATTAATTGTGTATTTTTTGTTAATTTAATTGAAATATTGGATCAAATTTAAAAACGGTCATAGAATCAAAATTTATTCAATTAGATATTAATATTTTCCTTCTAATCAAAAACATTCTCAGCATTATTTATATAGATGTGAGCTAGTTCTGTAAAAACGAAACGTGCCAAATATCAAAATCTATTAGCACTCAGATTATAGATCTAGAAAAATGTGAATGCAAACGTGTACTCGTTTTATGTACATTGTATACTCATTTTCACTTGAATTTTTTATATTAACACGAATTACCTTCGTGGACATTTGTTATGACTATTACTATTACACACAATCGATATATTATAGTATATATATAGAGATATTTATAAGTTACAATATGATAACACGGGTTAACCGAGAAAGAAAATTTTAGATAATCTAATGCGACGAACTTGTGGTAATTAATACAAACATAATTAATACGGTCACTATAAGACGACTTTCTAACTCTATGCAATACTGTTATATTCTTCTTTTTCAACAGTACGATTTGCAGTATAATGAATATCATCATCAATACAAATAACAATTAAAACACTATACTTATTTTATATTCCGCTATCTCGCTCATAATATCGAAGTATAATAACGACTAAATCTTCTGATGCAAAAACTAAGTGTCTCGTCGATAATCTACTTTTTTGTTGAGATCGATAATCGTAATGAAATCCCGAGGGATTTACACAGGGTGAGCAGAAAATCTAAACTCGACACAATTCTAATCTGATTGTTACACGTTACTCATATATATTATCACAATTATTCAATTAATCTTATAATAAGTAGCTAATATACAAGTTAAGAATACCCAAAAATAAGGTGCTAATTTAAAATAAAATTTTCCTATATTATATATAGTTGATTGTCCACTTTAACTATATATAATGTGTTCACAATATTTTATTCACAGATTTTATGATATATGAAAAATTAATTAATGATATATGTATATTAATTATTAATTATACACTTATATACAATACTCTTTTATGCACAAAAAATCTCAGCTCAGTTTCGAACATTATTATTATTATACGTATGCGAGACAACAATAATCTCGTTTTGACATTATTTATCCAAATCATGTAAAATGGAAACAATTGATAGATATATGGCCATTATATTGTATCTGCATTGTTTAATTACTAGCTTATTATTATTAATAATTATATATATGTTTTACTTATTATCGCGATATTATTTTTGTTATTTTTTGTTATTTATTTCGAAAAGATTATGTATTTGTATATTTAAAAATGATTTGTATATATTCTTATTTTTTAGAAATACTTTTATTCAATTAAGATAAAGTATAGTATAATTAACGTAGTATTTTCTAACGTATCTTTTTAAGATTAAAATGGAATCAAGAATATTAATAGAGCTTACTATAACTACTGTTGTTTCTATAGAGGAAAGTTATAAACTAACATTTTTATTATATTTATAATTTTAGATTCTAATAGAATGCAAATAATACTCAAAGAATTCAGAACAATGTCTATTATATCTGTTGTTGCGTTATTCCAAGCAGAAATCATCTATAATTTTTTCTAATAATAAAATATTGTTTTATATTAAAGATATGGATTATATATCTATAATATATTATATATTAAATACACAGATTAATTAATTTATGTTAACAAAAAGTATTTATATTATATAAAAATTATATAAAAAATTTATATTGATGAGCTTTAAAATGCGTTATAAATTATAAGGATTATTATTTGTAAAGATTGAGACTGACTGAAAATGAGTTGTAGCAATACTTTTATCTTATCCCTTCTTAGATTATAATCTTGCTCATAATGTAGACGAAAGAAAAAAATAATAAAATTGAAGTTTTTGAAACGTAATTACTTGAAATTTCAATTTATTTAATTATTCCCCCAAACTTTGTCTCTGTTAGAGTTTAAATTTTCACATTTTAAATCTTTAGAGATTTAAAAATTTTAGGAGTTCTTATACCATGATTTTTAAAAATTTAGCTTATGTTATTTTTTGCCGATGATATTTTGTATACGATTAATTATATACATATCTTTCAAGCTTATGTATGCACGTATGTTAAATGTAAAGCTATCAAATATCAGATTAGACCAGCATCAGATTAGATACACGATTATCTAGATAGAATATGCGTGACTTAGTATGCCCATAGATAACGTAACATGTGTAAGACCGACGAACCAATCACTATTCACCATGTTATAACATGTCCAGAGAAGCTTAAGTGCTGGTCTACAATAGGTGATTTAAGCCCTAAGCCTTAAGAAATTGACCAATCACAATCAAGTATGAGGAGAATACTCGACTGTGATTAGTCAATCTCTTAAGGCTTAGGGCTTAAATCACCTATTGTAGACCGGCATTAAAGTTGATTGGTCATCGCGCGGGTCAGTTTATGTATGACATGGCAAAACTATAATATATAGGTATGCTAAGGTTTATGGTGTATATCAGTTATCAGTAGCGCAGTAGTGCATTTTCCAACAATTCTAACGTAACAAATATGGTGTTACAATGGCGGGCTCTATAGAGATACCACTTCGCGATACAGATGAGGTGAATATTCCTCTTCTATTAATAATATTGTTAATTTACGAGTATCATAATGAGATCCTGGTAATAATAAAAATATGTGAATTATGTAAAATATGAATTTTCTTCGACAATTGGCAATATCGCTTCAAGCTTAACCTCAACGAACATGTTTTCTGATTGATGAAAATGATCAGCGAACTTTGTATACATACAACAGGATTATATCTTGCTCTAAAATGATATTGCTTCAATAATTCGGTATTAATCAATCATTCTTCTGGAATCTTTAGAAAAGAAAATGTGACAATTTATTTTACTTATTCTCGCGATATTGTTATTTATCTAGAAAAGATTGTGTATTTGTATATTTAAAAAATGATTTATGTGTTCTATGATTTTACTGTTATTTTATCTTATTTGGATGTTCTTACTGTATATATGTGAATGCATTTATATAAGTATTAATCTTCTCTACTTATGATGATTGTGTTTTGTGTATCGGTATATAATTGTAAATTATGCTCATAAGTTTATACTTGAGAAATACAATTTAAAAGTTACTTTGTTATTTCTCCTTATTACCATGTGTTATAGTTTAAACATTATTTTTTTGGACAGTATACATGTAAGCTATGAATAGAATATAATAACTTTATTTTATTTATTATTAACAGGAATATTAATTGGAAAATGATACAAGTTTAAATTAGTAATATATATGTAGCATATGTAATCTGTTAAAGATTTTAATTGTTTTTGTTTCTTTTAAAATAGGTTATAGAACTTTACTTAGATCAGTTACCAGACGGAGATGAAGTTCTGGGGATTGTGCGGCAAGAACATGCCCAGCTTAATATCTGGGTCAATTTGGCTGTATGTAAAACAGATAATTTTAATTGAAATAAAATATGCATAATAATATCCATATAACAAGTTTCTTTTCCTTTTCAGCTTGAGTATTATAAGCAGCAGAAGATTGAAGATTTTATTAAGATACTTGAATCTTCTCGTATTGATGCAAATATTGACTACCGTGACTATGAAAAAGATCAGATGCGAGCGCTTGACATGTTGGCTGCCTATTATGTCCAGGAAGCCAATAAAGAAAAGAATAAAGACAAAAAGAGAGATCTCTTTACAAAAGCCACATTATTGTATACAACAGCTGACAAGATCATCATGTATGATCAGGTATATATTGGTTCTATTTGAATAGTAATATTCACATAAATTTTTATATTTGCTGTTTATTATTATTATTATTGTTACAGAATCATTTGCTCGGCCGAGCTTATTTCTGTCTGCTTGAAGGGGATAAAATGGAGCAGGCTGATGCACAATTCAATTTTGTGTTAAATCAGTCGCCAAATAATATACCTTCTTTACTTGGCAAAGCCTGCATTGCTTTTAACAAAAAAGATTATAGAGGTGCCCTTGCATTTTACAAAAAAGCTCTCAGGACTAATCCACACTGTCCAGCTGCTGTCAGATTGGGAATGGGGCATTGTTTTATGAAATTGAATAATCAAGAAAAAGCGCGACTCGCGTTCGAAAGGGCTTTGCAATTGGATGGGCAATGTGTTGGTGCACTTGTCGGACTTTCAGTTTTGAAACTAAATCAGCAACAGCCCGACAGCATAAGAACTGGCGTGCAAATGTTATCAAAGGCTTACACGATCGATTCGACAAATCCGATGGTGTTAAATCACTTAGCAAACCATTTCTTTTTCAAGAAAGATTACAATAAAGTTCAGCATTTAGCGCTGCACGCGTTTCATAATACCGAAAATGAAGCCATGCGGGCAGAAAGTTGCTATCAATTAGCCAGAGCATTCCATGTTCAGGTAAGTCACAAAGTATTAAATATAATGTAGTTAAAAGTATTTTCATTATTGTTACGTTGTTGTTGTGTAATAATCAAGTAAAAATATTTTAGGGTGATTACGATCAAGCGTTTCAATATTATTATCAAGCAACGCAATTTGCTCCACCTGTATTTGTATTACCGCATTTTGGTTTAGGACAAATGTATGTTTATCGTGGTGATGCTGAAAATGTAAGAACACATAATACTATACGCTAACTAAAAGTCTGATCGTATAAAGATAAAATAATTATTTATCCTACTAACAGGCTGCTCAATGCTTCGAGAAAGTTTTGAAAGCACAACCGGGAAATTATGAAACTATGAAGATCCTTGGCTCTCTTTACGCTAACTCGAGTTCCCAATCAAAACGCGACATCGCAAAAAATCATTTGCGAAAGGTAACAGAGCAATTTCCTGATGATGTTGAAGCTTGGATCGAGCTAGCACAAATATTGGAACAAAGTGATCTAAATGCATCTCTAAATGCTTATGGAACTGCGACCAGAATCTTGAAGGAAAAAGTTCAAGCGGATATCCCACCAGAGATCTTGAATAATGTAGGAGCGTTACATTACAGGTACATATATATCTACATATTATATTTATTTTATTAGGTATACGATGTATACTTTTTATTTTTTAGACTCAGTAACTTGGAAGAAGCCAGAAAAAACTTGGAAGAATCTTTGGCACGTTCGAAAGCAGACGCTCTGCACGATTCGGTATATTACAATTCGATAGCAGTGACAACCACGTATAACTTGGCGCGTCTTAATGAGGCGTTGTGCATTTTCGATCGAGCAGAAAAACTATACAAAGACATCTTGAAGGAGCATCCAAATTATGTTGACTGTTATTTGAGACTCGGTTGTATGGCCAGAGACAAGGGACAGATATACGAAGCGTCCGATTGGTTCAAGGACGCCTTGAGAATTAATAATGAACATCCAGACGCATGGTCGTTATTGGGCAATTTGCATTTGGCCAAGATGGAATGGGGTCCTGGCCAAAAGAAATTCGAGAGAATTCTGAAAAATCCGACAACAAGCACGGATGCTTATTCTTTGATAGCTCTGGGAAATATCTGGCTACAAACTTTACATCAGAGTGGAAAGGACAAAGAAAGAGAGAAGCGACATCAGGATCGTGCATTAGCTATGTACAAGCAGGTAAAATGGTGTTAATCATTAATCAAAGCAGGTAAAAGGTGTTATTTACACAATTAAAATGTTCATTATTATGATTGAAATGATTCTCCAGGTTTTGCGAAATGACCCGAAGAATATCTGGGCTGCAAACGGCATTGGCGCAGTACTTGCGCATAAGGGCTGTGTAAACGAAGCTAGAGATATATTTGCTCAAGTGCGCGAAGCAACGGCAGAATTTTGTGATGTTTGGCTGAACATTGCACATATTTATGTGGAGCAAAAGCAATTTGTTAGCGCTATTCAAATGGTAAATAATAGTTGATACGATAAATATTTGATTAATTTTAAATATAATTAATTTAACATTTGATATATTGCAGTACGAAAATTGCTTGCGTAAATTCTATAGATATCATCATGTTGAAGTCTTGCAATATCTTGGAAGAGCTTATTTCAAAGCCGGCAAACTAAAAGAAGCGAAACTGACATTATTAAAGGTAATTAGCTATATATGAACTTTTCTCTGATATTATCCCTCCCTCCACCCCTACATTTCAATATTTAATATGAATTTATCAAAATATTTTTAGGCACGTCGAGTAGCTCCGCAGGATACTGTCTTATTATATAATATTGCTCTTGTACTCCAACGATTAGCCACGCAAATTCTTAAAGATGAAAAATCGACGTTAACCACTGTACTTCAAGCAGTTCATGAACTGGGTCTCTCGCACAAATATTTCCAGTATTTATCGACGCATGGCGACAGAATGGAGCAATTAGCTGAAGGTGAAGCTAGGAGGTGCCAAGATCTATTATCGCAAGCGCAATATCACGTCGCTAGAGCTAGAAGATTAGACGAAGAAGAGAAAATGTTGAGGCGAAAGCAAGAAGAAGAAAGGTGCGTCGCTTTCTTTAAAAAGATGTTTCTTTTTTTATTTTTTATTAATTTCTTTTGAATTCATAGGCAAGCTTTCAAAATGCGTCAAACGGAAGAACAACGTAAATTGGAAGAGATGCGTCGTCAGAAAGAAGAAGAAATGTTACAAAAGCGACAAGAATATGTGGAGAAAACTAAGAACGCTCTGGTATTCGGAGAAATGCCGTCGGAGAAACCTGGAAGAAAGGGCAAAAGAGTCCGAACTGATCAGTATGTCAGTGACAGCGGAGGATCTGACAGAGATGAAGGCAGGGAAGAAGCGCCGAAAGAAAGAAGACGTAAGAGGAAACCGAGCAGTGAAATTAAAGAAAGAAGGAGCAGAGGTAAAGGCAAACGTAGGAAGGAAGCCGGAAGTGGCAATAGCGGTAAAAAATCCATTCATATTTTATTTTCCTTTTTATTTTTCTTTACGCATTCTGAGGGATTTTTCACTTTAATTAACGAATTTTATACTTTGATGTCTTTCATATTAACATCTATTTTATAGGATCGGAAAGCGATCAACCCAAACGTAAGCGTGGCAAGAAGAATACTGGGACTGGGAAAGAAAAATCGCGTAGGGGTGCAGTCGAGAATCTTAAGGGTAAAATTAAATCGAAGGAAACTATTTCAACGAGCGAATCGGACAGTGATACTGGTGGACTTAAGATCGCTAGCGGGTAAATATATTTTATGATATATTATCTTAATGCATCACAATTTGTCTTTAATTTTATAACTTCCAATAAAAATCAGATTTAAGGATTTTAAGGATTCTTCCTAGGAATCTCGCGCGTGATGTCATATTTCCACTACACATTTTGCGTCTCTAAATTATTTTAGGAATATGGCATTAAATAATTAGAATTTTTTTAAACATATTAATAATTTATTTTTCCCAATATTAATAAAATCCAAGTTAGTTATATAAATGTCCAAGCTATTCATATATTACGATTTGGAATAATTTTTATCGTTAACAGTGGCGAAAGTGGCAACGAGAATCAACCACATAGCAGCAGACGAATTGCATCCGATTCGGAAAATTCTCGTGCTTCCCGATCACGATCACGTTCAAGGTCAAAATCTGGAAGTCGCTCGAGAAGCAGCTCGCGTTCACGGTCCGCTTCTCGTTCGCGATCACGGTCGCGTTCTCGATCTCGATCCGCCTCTGGATCGAGATCTAGATCCAGAAGCGTTTCGAGATCAAGAAGCCGCTCGGCATCCGGGTCAAGATCAGGCTCGGCCAAAAGCAGGTCAAGATCGAGGTCGGGCTCTCGTAAAAGCGGCTCACGATCAAGGTCTAATAGTGGCTCGCGAAGAAGCGGATCGAAGGCAAGATCAAGGTCAAGTTCGAGAAAAAGCGATTCTAGATCGAGGTCGCCAAATGGTTCAAGGAAAGGCACGTCGCGCTCAAGGTCCAGATCCAAAAGTGGCTCTCGCTCGGGCTCAGAGGAACGACAATCGAGAAGCAAGAGTCGATCGCGGTCTAAATCGAAATCTGTTTCGAGATCCAAATCAAGATCGAGAAGCGGCAGCAAATCGCGATCGCGTTCCAGAT